TTGACGTGTGAGGCTCAGCCAGCGTCAGTGGACAGGGCCGCGAGCGCTACTTTCTGCTGGTTGTTGACGACTACATGCGTTACACCATGGTCTTCCCCTTGCGTAGCAAGGGTGAGGTCCTTGATGCCTTTATCCTTTGGATTCGCGCAGTCTGTCTCCAGCTTCGCGAGCGGTTCCATGAGGACCTTCCTGTCCTGCGTCTACACTCTGACAGAGGTGGTGAGTTCTCCTCCGACCTCTTGCGGGACTTTTGTCGTGGGGAGGGCATTCTCCAATCGTTCAAGCTTCCGGCCTCCCCTCAGCAAAATGGGATTGCTGAGCGCCGCATTGGCTTAGTCATGGAGGTCGCTCGTACCTCCATGATCCATGCAGCTGCTCCCCATTTTCTGTGGCCGTTTGCAGTCCTGTACGCTGCGCATCAGCTCAACCTCTGGCCTTGTGTCTCTTTGGCGGAGACCTCGCCGACACTGTGTTGGACGGGGGAGGTTGGCGATGCGTCGGTATTCCGGGTCTGGGGCTCTCGTGCCTTTGTTCGCGATACGTCCGCGGATAAGCTCTTCGTCCGCGCCATTCCCTGTGTCTTCCTTGGCTTTTCCCCTGACGTGCCTGACTGGCAGTTTTACCACCCCACCTTGTGCCGTGTCTTCCCCTCTCAGGACGTCACGTTTGACGAGTCGGTTCCCTTTTACCATCTCTTCCCCTACCGCTCTGCCCCTCCCCCACCCCAGCCGTCTTCCTTGCTCCAGGTCCCCCTCCGGTAGACCCCCTCCCCCCCCAGGGTCCTGCTCCCTCAGGTGTGTCTCAGGTAGACCCTCTCCCTGGTACTGTGCCTGTTGAGGTCGCTGTCGGCTTAGGTGCTACTCGAGGTGCTGCGTCTGGGGGTGCTGCGTCTGGTGGTGCGGATCCTGGGGGTGCTGAGTCTGAGGGTGCCGGGTCTGGGGGTGCTGAGCCTATGGGTGCGGAGCCTGTGGGTGCTGAGCGTGTGGGTGCGGAGTCTGGGGGTGCTGAGCCTGAGGGTGTGGAGCCTAGGGGTGCTGAGTCTAGGGGTGCTGAGCCTCGGGGTACTGGTTATTCTGGAGGTCCTGCGAGTGCTTCGCCAAGACTGTCTCCCCGGCCGGAGCCTCTCTCCCCGCAACAGCTGCGCGAGTGGTTTTGCTCAGCGCACCCGCCTTCGGAGTGGAGCTGCTAGAGCTGGAGACTCTACCGCTTGAGACACTGGAGCTGGAGGTGCTGGAGTTACTACTGGAGCTGGTGGTACCGGAGGTGCTGCAGCTGCTGGTCCTGCAGGTGCTCGTAACAGGGGTACTTGAGCTGCCAGGACTGGTACTGTTGGGGGCGCTGGAGCTCGAGGAGCTGCAGCTGGATACCTTGCAGAGCCTGGAGGCACTCGAGCTAGTGGCACTAGCGCTGGTGGCGCTGGAGCTGGAGGAGCTGGAGTTGGAGACCCTGGAGCTGTTGGCGCTGGAGCTGGAGGCACTGGCGCTGGTGGCGCTGGTGCTCGAGGAGCTGGAGCCCGGGGTGCTGTGTCTGGCAGTACTGGTGCTAGAGGCACTGTGCGGCCGCGATCATACTTTGTTCTTAGTCTCCCGTCTTCTACTGGCCTTACTCCTCCCTTGCTGTGTCCACCGCCTGACCAGTCACAACCACCGTTACAGCCAGCCTCCCCACTGCCTGCTCCTTCTTCTTACACTGAGCAGACTGGAGGTCTTACAGAGCGTCGTGAGCCTGAGTCTCGTCCTGCCTTGCCTGTTCGCGCTGTTCGCACTGCTCGTAGGGTTCCTCGTCCGCGTCCTCCTCAAGTCCCCGGCACCCACGCTATGGCACTTCGTCCTTCCTCTGTTCCACTGCCACTTCCTCCTGGGTCCTTTCTTCTTGCCGTCCGTGACCGTGAGTCTGACCTTGCTCATGCTGCCAGTCCCACTGTCTCTTGTCTCCTCGCCACAGTTGTCACTGACCCTTCTTTTGAGTCCACTACTGCGTCTGCCCTCGTTGCTGAGCTAGTTGACTTTGCTGCTGCCTGTCGTCTAGACTATGCCATTGCTCTTGTTGCTGTGTCTGATTCTGCCAGTCCTCCGTCCGTCGGGGGTGAGTGTGCTCTTGGCACGGACGTCCTTGAGGATAGGCAGGAGGACCTTGAGTGTCTTGCAGGTGCTCTACCTCGTTTCGCTTCCATGCTGCTTGCCCCTGAGGGAGACCCGGATGCACCAGACATCCCGCCCCTGCGCTCTTATGCAGAGGTGATAACGGGTCCTTACTCCTCTCAGTGGCAGACAGCCATGGATGCCGAGATGGCATCCTGGAAGTCCACAGGCACCTACGTCGACGCAGCTCCCTCATCTAGGGCAAACATAGTCGATGGCATGTGGGTTTTCAGGGTGAAGCGGCTGCCGGGTTCTTCGCCTGCCTTCAAGGCGTGTTACGTTGCTAGAGGCTTTAGTCAACGACAGGGGGTCGACTACTTCCAGACCTTCTCCCCCACCCCGAAGATGACCACTCTTCGGGTGCTGCTTTACGTCGCTGCTCGGCATGACTACAAGTTGCACTCTTTGGACTTCAGCACAGCTTTCTTGCAAGGCAGCCTGCACGAGGAGATCTGGCTGCGCTGCCCACCTGGCTTCACTGGGTCGTTTCCTGCACGTACCCAGTGGAGCCTCCGACGGCCAGTCTACAGTCTTCGCCAGGGGCCTCGTGAGTGGCACGACACACTGAGGACTACATTTGCGGCTCTGGGGTTTACTCCTTCTACTACTGACCCGTCGCTGTTTCTACGCACTAACACGACGCTGCCACCGTTCTACGTCCTCGTGTACGCAGACGACCTGGTCTTTGCCACTGCTGACACTGAGGCACTGACCCTTGTGAAGTCGGAGCTGCAAAAGAGACACACCTGCACTGACCTGGGTGAACTGCGCAGCTATCTTGGCTTGCAGATCACTCGGGACAGAGCACGGCGCACAATCACCTTGACTCAGTCACACATGGTGCACCAGGTCCTTCAGCGCTTCGGCTTCCAGTTCTCCTCACCACAGCCCACTCCTTTGTCTACCGGCCACTCGCTCTCAGCTCCACCTTCGGACGAGTTCGTAGAGCCGAGTGGTCCGTACCCAGAGCTTGTGGGTTGCCTCATGTACTTGATGACGTGCACCCGACCTGACCTCGCATACCTTCTCAGCCTCCTGGCTCACTACGTGGCTCCCGGTAGGCACCGAAAGGTGCACTAGGATGCTGCGAAGAGGGTACTGCGTTACTTGTGTAGTACGTCGGGCACGGGGCTCGTGCTTGGAGGACGGGGTCCAGTTGTCCTCACTGGTCACGCAGACGCTTCTTAGGTTGACTGTGTTAGGCCTTGTGCCTACTTTGCATCACTTGCCCACTGCGTGACTTTGCTTGTAATGTGATCTACATATATACCTGCATGCTTACACTTGCTAGGGTATGATCACTGTATTGTTTGTTCTCTTTTATATAACTCTGCATATGAACTGGCCTTCTGGCTCTTTGCTTGTGCTCGGACTGTATGGTGACTTTGTGATCCACCCTGAGCTTTCTTTGCTTTTTTTAACTGGTCTTATGACCACTCGTTCTCCCCCACTTTGCCTATGGTGGTGTGTCAAAATGTTTTCGTGCTTATATTTGTGTAGGCTATTGTGGGGTAGCCCATAAGGGGTACAACCCAAATAGGGTTAGTACTTGTACCCAACTATTTCATAGTTCATTCATTCTTGTTCATTCCTTCAATCACAACAACTTCCGTTGGCCACAACGTCATCGCAGCAACTTCTGTTTGGGGATGGCGCGACCCAATCATTGCACATGCGTCGGGTGAACGGGCAGAACAAACCACCAACACCCCGGTGCGCTCGTCTTTTGAGTTGACTAAAAAATCGTCGTATCGATATGGGGTTTGTGAGAGTACGCCGACGTTCGACATCTTTCTCATTTCCATATTTTTACTCCATCTTATTCTCCTTATTTTCCTCTTTCATTTGCACTTTATTTCACCTCAATCGGACTACTATTCTATTTTCTAGAGCTTTCCGATTATTTCACTTATTTGGTATTTTCGGCACCGACATTTATATTATACGGCACCGACAGCACCGACAGTGGTGTACAAGGCGTAATCTCGCCATAATCCGAAGTGGCAATGGGCTTGCGTGCTTATGCGCACTTTTGATTATCTATTCTAGAAGAGCGCGTTCCCGAAGGTTCGGATTATCTGTTGTTTCTATGTATTTCTGAGTATAGATAGCCTTGTACTCACCTTTAGTGCAACATTCTCGAGTGTGTTAGAATCTAGAATGGAACGAGAATGCATGAAACTAGGTAGGAGGGGGATACAAGTAGGAAACCCTAACAAAGCTGTACCCCCTAAGGCTAAACCCACTATAGCCTACACAATATAAACATATAATGTTTGACACACCCCGATAGGCTAAGTGGGAGACAACCAGATGGTCACAAGACCAGTCAAAGCAAAGCAAAGCAAGCTCAGGGTGGATCTCAAGGAAACCACACAAATTCTGAGCACAAGCAAGTGGTCACAAGACCAGTTCACATGCAGGTTGATAGTATAACAAGAGATACAGTGATCACAACCTAGCAAGAGTAAATAAGCAGGTACATATACAGAGATCACAGTACAAGCAGAGCAAGAAGTAAGCAAGTGAGGCCCAGTAGGCACGAGGCCTAGAACAGTACAGAAGCGCTGATGGTCACAAGGCTGAAGCGCCTTGGTGAACACATCAGCAGTGTTGGCCCGAGTGGCCACGTAACGCAGACGAAGCTGACCGCGCTGCTGCAGCTCTCGAGCAAGGAAGTAGCGCAGAGCGATATGCTTCGTTCTGTGCTCCAGTCTGTGCTCCTCACACAAGGCAATGGCAGCCTTGTTGTCGACGTACAGCACTGGAGCAGAACGAGGCCGCTCTCCCAAGTCGGTCAGCAGGTAGGTGAGCCAGCGTAACTCCTGTGCAGCCATGGCTGTGGCGTAGATCTCAGCCTCACAACTGGAGCTGAGAACAGAAGACGAGCGTTGTAGAACGCCAAGAAACTGAACCAGAGCCAAGGCTGAAGGTGTAACCCTGAGACGACCGCTGAGTAGCCTGGTCGTCAGCCCAAGACGCGTCTGAGTGCCCAGTGAGTACAACTCGGTCTCGTCCTCCAAGCACTAGCCCCATGCCCGACGTACTGCACAAGTAGCGCAACACCCTCTTAGCGGCATCCATGTGCTCCTTCCGGTGACGGCCAGGAGCGACATAGCGTGCAAGGATGCTAGGAGGGTATGCAAGGTCAGGTCGAGTGCAGGTCATCAGGTACATGAGGCAGCCCACAAGCTCTGGATACGGGCCACTCGGTTCTACGGACTCACCCGAAGGCAGAGCTGAGAGCGAGTGACCGGTAGGCAGAGGAGTGGGCTGAGGCGAGGAGTACGTGAAGCGGAAGCGCTGAAGGACCTGCTGCACCATGTGTGACTGAGTCAAGGTGATGGTGCGCCGTGCTCTGTCCCGGGTGATCCGCAAGCCAAGATAGCTTGTCAGTTCACCCAGGTTTGTGCACGTGTGTCTCTTCTGCAGCTCCGACTTCACGTGGGCGAGTGCCGCAGTGTCAGCAGTGGCAAAGACCAAGTCGTCGACGTACACGAGGATGTAGAACGGCGGCAGCAAGGTGTCGGTGCGAAGAAACAGCGACGGGTCAGCAGTGGAAGGAGCGAACCCAAGAGCCGCAAGTGTAGTCCTCAGTGTGTCGTGCCACTCACGTGGCGCCTGTCGGAGACCGTAGACTGGCCGCCGGAGGCTCCACTGGGTACCAGGAGGGAACGACCCAGTGAAGCCAGGTGGGCGGCGCAGCCAGATCTCCTCGTGCAGGCTGCCCTGTAGGAAAGCAGTGCTGAAGTCAAGAGAGTGGAGCTCGTAGTCACGCTGAGCGGCGACGTGCAGCAGAACCCGAAGAGTGGTCATCTTCGGGGTCGGGGCGAAGGTCTGGAAGAAGTCAACTCCCTCTCGCTGACTGAAGCCTCGTGCAACGTAACGCGCCTTGAAGACAGGCGGAGAACCCGGCGGCCGCTTCACCCTGAAAATCCACATGCCACTGACGATGTTCGCCCCAGGTGGGGGAACCTCGTCGACGTAGGTGCCTGTGGACTTCCAGGAAGCCATCTCTGCGTCCATGGCTGTCTGCCACTGAGAGGAGTAGGGACCCTCTATCGCCTCTGCGTAAGAGCGCGGAGTCGGGATGTCTGGTGCATCCGGGTCTCCCTCAGGGGCAACTAGCATGGACACGAGATGAGGTAAAGCAGCGGCAAAGCACTCAAACTCCTCCTGCCTGTCCTCAAGGACGTCCGTGCCAAGAGCACACTCACCACCGACGGACGGAGGACAGATAGACTCAGACTCAGCAACTAGGCTAGCGGCGTAGTCTAGACGACAAGTGGCAGCAAAGTCGACAAGCTCGGCAACTAAGGCAGACGCAGCAGTGGACTCAAAGGAAGGGTCAGTGACAACAGTAGCCAGGAGACGCGTGACAGTAGGACTGGCAGCACGAAGGGAGTTAGACTCAGGGTCAGCAAGAGCAGGAAGAGAGGACGCAGGAGGAGACGGGAGAGGGACACGCTGGGGAGCAGTGGAAGGACGAAGCGCCATCTGGTGAGTGCCTGGGACAGCAGGAGGACGCTGACGCGGGACACGACGACCAGTGTGAGCAGCACGAACAGGCGACGCTCGACGAGACTCAGGCGACGCAGGACGAGACTCAGGCTCACGACGCTCCGTAAGACCTCCAGTCGGACCAGTGTAAGGAGAAGGACCAGGGAGAGGGGAGTCAGACGGTAACTGTGACTACGACTGGACAGACGGAGGACACTCTAAGGAGGGAGGAGGACAAGGAGGAGGAGGCTGACCAAGAACCTGCTGAAGGAGCGGAACGAAGTACGGCCGCGGCCGCGCAGCGTCTCCAGAACCAGCAGAGACACCAGCGCCAGGGTCCTCAGCACCAGCAGCAGCTCCACCTCCAGGGTCCTCAGCACCAGCAGCAGCTCCAACTCCAGGGTCCGCAGCACCAGCAGCAGCTCCGACTCCAGGGTCCGCAGCACCAGCAGCAACTCCAACGCCCGGAGCCGCAGCACCAGCCGCACCTCCAGAAGAAGCAGCACCTCCAGCAGCTCCAGCAGCCCCAGCACCAGCAGCACCTCCAGCAGCTCCAGCAGCACCAGCAGTACCACCAGCACCAGCAGCACCTCCAGTAGCGTCAGCAGCACCAGCAGCTCCAGCACCAGCAGTACCTCTAGCAGCGCCAGAAGCACCGCCAGCAGCAGAACCTCCAGCAGCTGGGTCCGCGACACTAGGAGCGCCACTCCGAAGACTGCAGCGCCGTGCGTACCACTCTCGGAGCCGCTGGGGAGAGGGCAGCTCCCGCCTAGGAGGGGAAGCACTAGCACCAGCTCCAGCAGTACTCCTGGCTCCAGAAGCACCTCTCCTGAGGCTGCAGTACTGTAAGTACCACTCACGCAGCTGCTGTGAGGAGAGAGCTCCTCCAGGTGTAGCACTCCCAGGCTCAGCACCTCCAGACTCAGCACCCCCAGACTCAGCACCCGCAAGCTCAGCACCCCCAGGCTCCGCACCCCTAGGCTCAGCACCCCCAGACTCCGCAACCCCAGGCTCCGCACCCCCAGACTCCGCAACCCCAGGCTCCGCACCCCCAGGCTCCGCACCCCCAGGCTCCGCACGCTCAGGCTCAGCACCCTCAGGCTCAGCACCCCTAGCAGGACGAGAGTCGACAGCTACCTCGACAGGCTCAACTGGGTCTACCTGGGACACACCTGAGGGAGCGGCACCCTGAGGGGGGAGGGGGTCTACCACAGCAGCACCTGGCGCGAGGAAGAGAGGCGGGGGGGGAAGCGGGGCAGTGCGGTAGGGGAAGAGGCGGTAGTAGGGGACGGACTCGTCGAAAGTGACGTCCTGAGAAGGCAGGACACGGCGCGAGGTGGGGTGGTAAAACTGCCAACCAGACGCGTCCGGGACAAAGCCAAGGAAGACACAAGGAACAGCGCGGGAGGAGAGCTTGTCCGCGGACGTATCGCGAACAAAGGCTCGAGATCCCCAGACCCGAAAGCGTGACGCATCGCCAACCTCTCTTGTCCAACGCAGTGTCGGCGAAGTCTCCGGAACGGAGACACGGGGCCAGAGGTTGAGCTGATGCGCAGCGTATCGGACTGCAAACGGCCACAGAAAGTGGGGGGCAGCCGCATGGATCAAGGAGGTACGAGCGACCTCCATGACCAAGCCAATGCGGCGCTCAGCAACCCCATTCTGCTGTGGAGAGGCCGGAAGCCGTGAACGACTGGCGGATGCCGTGCTCCGCACAGTAGGCTGCCAAGAGGTCGGAGGAGAACTCACCACCTCTGTCAGAGTGCAAGCGCAGGACAGGAAATTCCGAGTGGAAACGCTCGCTGAGCTGGAGACGAGAAGCGCTGATCCAAGGGATCAAAACATCAGGGACCTCACCCTTGGTGCGCAAGGGGAAGACCGTGGTGTAGCGCGAGTAGTCGTCAACAACTATCAGGAAGTACCTCTCCTGACCCTCACCACGGACGCGGGCTGGGCCCCACACGTCCATGTGGAGCGTCTGCAAGGGAGCAGTCGTCGGGGGAAACGAGGAGGAGTGAGGAGCGGCGCGCTGCCGCCCCTCGACACAGGGAAGACAGGGAGGAGCAGGCGAGGGTGGGAGGGGAGGGAGAACCCTGGGAAGACCAGAGACAAGGTACCGTTTGTGCATGGCACGAAGGCGCTGCACGGACGGGTGACCAAGTCGGTGGTGCCAGAGGACGGTCTCGTGCGCCAGAGAGCGACACGAGCAGGGGGCCGACAGCTGACCTGACGCAGACGCAGCTACCTGAGGGGACTCAGTGGTCAGTGTGTACAGGTCCGACCCCGGCTGCCGAGTGAAGGTAGCCATGTGACGGCCTGTCCGAGCACACGTGCAGTGTGTCACGCGCTCGTAGGCAGGGGTGAACTGGTGAACACCCCCGTCCTGGAGCGCACAACCCGCCACCAAGTTCGTAGAGAACGAGGGGAGGTGGAGACCTGACAGTGTGCCCGACGGGACCGCAGGACAAGGAAGGACAGTGGAGGAGGTCGCAATGACCGGACCCCCAGAGGGGTCAGCGAGGGAGACAGCAACTGGCCGAGCAAGCGGCTCAAGGGCAGTGCGGTCACGAAAGAAACAGCGAGAAGCACCTGAGTCCAGAGTGAAGGTGTGCAGTGCCTCAGTCGACTCAGTACCAGGGGGCGCAGACTCACGAGCACCTAGAGCGGCAGCCTCACCAGCACCTGGGGTAGCAGACACGCGAGTACCGGGAGTGGTAGCCTCACCAGCACCTAGGGCAACGGACGCACTAGCACCTAGAGCGGCAGCCTCACTCACAGGACACGGCAGCTGCACCTGTCCACTACCAGAAGCTCCCGAACGACTCCAGAGCGACTGCCACTACGGCCACCCCGACAGCCCCAACTGGCGTACCACTCACGAAGCTGCTGGGGCGAGAGAGGACACGGCAGCTGCACCTGTCCACTACCAGAAGCAGAATCGATCGTGACTTCGCAGCAGTCGCGAAATTTTCCCAAGGCCCAAGAAATTCGAGCCCCCAACACCTTTGATGGGGAAATCGACGCTAGGCGCTGGCTTTTGGTGATCGAAATTTATTTCGCCGCCATTGGATGGACAGCACCAGCACTCGACAGAAACAGAATTAATTTTGCAGCAACACTACTGCGCGGACCAGCAATTGAATGGATAAGCGGAAGCGGTTTATTAAACCAAGGTGAAGCGACGTGGCAGCAGTTCCGAGAACGATTACTATAACGTTTTGAGCCGATTAATGCAGCGTTTATCGCCCGCGACAAAATACATCGTCATCAACAAATCGGGAGCGTCGCGAACTACATGCAACAAATGGAGGAGTTGTTCAACCGCATCCCCGACGTCACGGAAGGCGAAAAAATTAGAGCATTCATCGCGGGGCTGAAAAAAGAAACACGACAACATGTTGCGGCCGCAAATTGGAGCAGCTACAACGACGTCGTTTCGGCAGCGGAACGTTTCGACGTAACCACGATCGGAACACGACGACTTCATGGAGGAGCTAGACGACATGGAGGGCGCTTGGCTAACCCCACGTACGCCGACCCGATGGAACTCGATCGAATCGACCCGAAGGCAAGACCAAAGAAGAACAAATCTAAGTGTTCTTTCTGCGGCAAACCCGGACATCGACTCATCGATTGTGACGAAATGAAAACTGCACGTTCAGCGCTTAGGGACCGCAGCAGTGGAGCAGATTTAATGCGAATATTGGAGGATCGTGGAGTGAATTTTTCAAACCACGAACGGACTCTACCAGGGAAAATCGCCGAGGGAAATAAAATCTCCGCGACACAAGACCCTGCTGGACCCGGACAACTCCAAAAAGGCCCTGTAAAAAGTAAGCACCCCTTCAAAATATCATACAAGGATGCTTTACTTGGAAAAAATTCCCTTGGGTCTACGGCCTTTGTGAAATCACGAGAGAGGCTCCAGAAGAAAAAGAATGTACCGGTACGACAACTACAGCAGCTGCGCATGGGGAACCAACAACGGAGCGTGGAAGATCGACCTTCCAACGTCGACATCGTCCTCTCTCTGAAAAACCAGCCCACGTCGACCAACCGGTCCCCACGGAAGAAGTCGGTGGCGCTGAAGCAGCTCAAGAGGGAGCTGGAGGTCAACATGAAGCTGCGACGACCTCAAACCTCCTCTACAGATGCATCTGCAACATCTGAAACATCTACGGTATCTACCCCATCTATGAATTCTACTACGAGCTCGAGAACCACGTCGTCGACGACAACAAAAAATCATGGCAATAGGGAACGGCAGGACCGGCCATCTGCCACCCCAGGAGAAAACACATAGCTATGGGAAATGCCCTATAATCCAATCAACGAGACGATCAACGGGTACAACGAGCAACGCCAACCACTTTTGCTCGAGGTGATCTGCAATGGACGACACCTCCAAGCACTCGTGGACAGCGGAGCATCCCATTCAGTATGCGACAAAGCAACCCTCGAACGCATCAATGAGAAGTACACGCCTTCAAACTTCACAGCTACGATGGTTGACGGAAGCAAATTACAAGTCTACGGCGAAACAGCGTTACACCTGCAGATGGGTCCTCTTCGCTGGAAACCGACCCTACCCGTCACCAACATCAAAGGGCTAGACTTGATTCTTGGGAGAGATTTTCTGAAGAAGTTCAACCCCGAGATCAACTGGGTCACCCGCAAGGCGAGTATTTACAATCAAGCCAGAAGAGTTCCTCTTCCGAATTGGAGCAACACGGGAGATATTCCGGAGGAGACTCTCGCACGCTTCGAGAATGACGTGAAGCGAACCATGGCAGGGTTTGTTGCACTGGTTATCAACGAGGACGAAGGAGAGAGAAAAACGCTCGAGCTTCCACCAGCAATCCAGAAACTTCTAGAAGAGTTCGAAGACGTTCTCCCTGACGACCTTCCAGACCAGTTGCCGCCATACCGAACCCACCAGCACGAGATCATCGAAGAACCTGGTTCAAAACCGACCTTCCGAGCACCATATCGACTCAGCCCTACCGAGTTGGCCGACATGAAGAAGCAGATCGAGTACCTTCTGGACAAAGGACTCATTCGACCATCAACATCACCATACGGTGCACCAGTGCTTTTCACACCAAAACCTGACGGAAGCTTACGCATGTGCATCGACTACCGAGCCCTCAACAAGCAGACAATCAAGAACAAGTATCCGATTCCACGGATCGACGATCTACTTGACCAGCTTCGTGGAGCCACAGTATTCTCAAAACTCGATTTGAGATCGGGATATTGGCAGATCCGGATGGCGGATAACTCCATCCATAAGACAGCGTTTCGGACACGATACGGATCCTACGAGTACCTCGTCATGCCGTTCGGACTCACCAACGCACCCGCTACATTCCAGGCCGAAATGAACCATATTCTTAGGCCTCTACTCGACGAATGCGTGGCGGTGTACCTGGACGACATCCTGATCTACTCGAGGGACATGAAGCAGCACATCGAACACCTACGACGCATCTTCGAGATACTTCGACGGGAGAAGTTCTACGTCAAGCTATCCAAGAGCGAGTTTGCTTTGAAGAAAGTTGAGTTCCTTGGACACATGGTGAGCGCTCAAGGAGTCCATGTCGACCCAAACAATATCGAAGCCGTACGTACGTGAGAGACACCGGAGAACGTGAAGGAACTTCAGCAATTCCTTGGCTTTGCGAACTACTATAATCGGTTCGTGCCACAGTATGCGAAGATTGCAACACCTCTCACCAATCTACTGAAGAAGAATACACCGTTCAAGTGGGAGGATGTGCACCAGCAAGCCATGGAGCAGTTGAAGACCGCACTCACACCCGCACCCGTCCTGATCCTGCCAGATCCAGAAAAAGACTATGTCATCGAAGCTGACGCTAGCGACCAAGCAGTTGGAGCAGTCTTGATGCAAGACCAAGGGAAAGGACTACAACCAATCGCCTACCTCAGCAAAAATTGCACGGGGCAGAACTCAACTACCCGATTCACGACAAAGAGGCATTAGCGATCATCACGGCATTCAAGACATGGCGATGCTACCTCAAAGGGAGAAAGACCACGGTCTACACTGACCATTTCAGCGTGAAGTACCTAAAGACGCAACCGACCCTCTCCAGAAGACAAGTCAGGTGGATTGACTTCCTCGAGACGCACTTCGACTACGACATCGTGTACAAGCCGGGACACAAGAATAAGGCAGACGCACTGAGCCGACCTGGACACGTTGCCGCCATACAGATTGAGGGGATGAATCCGCTACTCAAGGGACTCTTCACGCACGGCTTATACCATCGACCCCGAGATTCCCTTAGCAGAGAAAAAGAAATTGTTGCAGTGGGACCACGACGTCGCACTACGCAAAGGATCAACAAAGATATGGGTACCCAACTACCCGCCTCTTCGGCAGTTGCTTCTCGAAGAATTCCATGACGTGCTCTACGCTGGACACTTCGGGAGTAACAAGACTCTTGCCGGGATTGCGAAAGTCTACTACTGGCTCCACATGGCAAACGACGTGCAAAAGTTTGTCACTTCGTGCGACACGTGCCAGCGGATGAAAGCAGTAAGCAGAAGAAAGCAGGACTTCTTCAGCCTTTACCCGTCCCGGAACAGCCTTGGCAAGTGGTCAGCTTGGATTTCATCACCGGTATACCACCTGCCAACGCAGGGCATGACGCCATCCTGGTCGTCATCGACAAATTCTCAAAGATGGGACACTTCATTCCAACACATACAACCGCACGCACGGAGGAAACGGCAGAGCTATTCCTCAAACACATCATCTCACAGCACGGGATCCCAACAACCCTCATATCCGACAGGGACCCCAAGTTTACTAGCAAGTTCTGGAAAGAGCTCATGTCGCTCATGGGGACACGCCTAGCAATGTCATCTGCATATCATCCCCAGACCGATGGGCAGACAGAGCGCTTGAACCAAATTGTGGAACAACTCTTGCGCGCAGCGTGCAAGGACGGCATTAACAAGTGGTGTGAAGAAACAGGAAAGATGAATGACTAGGAAATGAGTTGGGTACAAATATGAAACCCTAGGAAACTGTACCCCATAGTGTATACCCCACTACAGCCTAGACAGGCTATGTGATTAATGTTTGACACACCCCCATAGGCAAAGTGGGGGAGAACAAGGGGTCACAAGACTAGTCAAGCAAAGCAAGCTCAGGGTGGATCACAACGTCACCACACATTCTGAGCACAGGTTCAAAAGGCCACAAGGCCAGTTCACATGCAGGTGTATATATATATGGATCACAGTACAAGTAAAGTCAAGAGGTAAGCAAGTGAGGACAAGTAGGAACAAGACCTAACATAGTACAGAAGCGCTGATGATCACAAGGCTGAAGTGCCTTGGTGAAGATATCAGCAGTGTTGGCCTGAGAGGCCACGTAAGCAAGGCGTAACTGACAACGCTGCTGTAGCTCACGAGCAAGGAAGTAGCGAAGAGCAATGTGCTTCGTTCTGTGCTCCAGTCTGTGCTCCCGACACAAGGCCAGCATGGCCTTGTTGTCTACGTACAGAACTGGAGGAGAACGAGGCGGCTCTCCCAGGTCAGTCAGCAGGTAGGTGAGCCAGCGTAACTCCTGTGCAGCCATGGCCCCTGCGTAGATCTCAGCCTCACAACTGGAGCTGAGAACAGAAGACGAGCGGGTAGACCGCCACGAGACAGAACCGGAACCAAGGCTGAAGGTGTAACCCTGTGACGACCGCTGAGTAGTCAGGTCGTCAACCCAAGACGCGTCTGCGTGACCAGTGAGGACCACTGGACTCCGCCCTCCAAGCACGAGCCCCATGCCCGACGTACTGCACAGGTAGCGCAACACCCTCTTCGCGGCAGCCATGTGCTCTGGTCAATGTCTCCCAGGAGCAACATACCGTGCCAGGATGCTAAGAGGGTATGTCAGGACAGGTCGAGTGCAGGTCATCAGGTACATGAGGCAGCCAACAAGCTCTGGGTACGGGCCACTCGGCTCTACGGACTCATCCGAAGGCAGAGCTGAGAGCGAGTGGCGAGTAGACAGAGGAGTGGCCTGAGGCGAGGAGTACGTGAAGTCGAAGCGCTGAAGGACCTGCTGCACCATGTGTGACTGAGTCAGGGTAATGGTGCGGCGTGCTCTGTCCCGGGTGATCTGCAAGCCAAGATAGCTGCGCAGTTCACCCAGGTCTGTGCACGTGTGTCTCTTCTGCAGCTCGGACTTCACGTGGGCGAGTCCAGCAGTGTCAGCTGTAGCAAACACCAATTCGTCGACGTACACGAGGATGTAGAACGGCGGCAGCAAGGTGTCGGTGCGAAGAAACAGCGACGGGTCAGCAGTAGAAGGAGCAAACCCAAGAGCCGCAAGCGTAGTCCTCAGTGTGTCGTGCCACTCCCGGGGCGCCTGGCGGAGACCGTAGACTGGCCGCCGGAGACTCCACTGGGTACCAGGAGGAAACGACCCAGTGAAGCCAGGTGGGCGGCGCAGCCAGATCTCCTCGTGAAGGCTGCCCTGTAGGAAAGCAGTGCTTAAGTCAAGGGAGTGAAGCTCGTAGTCACGCTGAGCAGCGACGTGCAGTAGAACCCGAAGAGTGGTCATCTTCGGGGTCGGGGAGAAGGTCTGAAAGTAGTCAACTCCCTGCCGCTGACTGAAGCCTCGAGCCACGTAACGCGCCTTGAAGACAGGCGGAGAACCCGGCGGCCGCTTCACCCTGAAAATCCACATGCCACTGACAATGTTCGCCCCAGGTGGGGGAACCTCGTCGACGTAGGTGCCTGTGGACTTCCAGGAAGCCATCTCTGCGTCCATGGCTGCCTGCCACTGAGAGGAGTAGGGACCCTCTATCGCCTCTGCGTAAGAGCGCGGGGTCGGGATGTCTGGTGCATCCGGGTCTCCCTCAGGGGCAAGCAGCATGGACACAAGATGAGGTAAAGCAGCAGCAAAACACTGGAACTCCTCCTGCCTGTCCTCAAGGACGTCCGTGCTAAGAGCACACTTACCCCCGACGGACGGAGGACAGACAGACGCAGACTCAGCAACAAGACTAGTGGCGTAGTCTAGACGACAGTGAGCAGCGAAGTCGACAAGCTCGGCAACTAAGGCAGACGCAGCAGCGGACTCAAAGGAAGGGTCAGTGACAATAGTGGTTAGGAAACGCGTGACAGTAGGACTGGCAGCACGAAGGGAGTCAGACTCCGGGTCAGCAAGAGCAGGAAGAGAGGACTCTGGAGGAGACGGCAAAGGGACACGCTGTGGTGCAGTGGAAGGACGCAGTGCCATCTGATGCGTGCCCGGGACCGCAGGAGGACGTTGACGTGGAACACGACGACTAGTGCGAGCAGTACGAACAGGTGACGCAGGACGCGACTCAGGCTCACGACGCTCAACAAGACCTCCAGTAGGACCAGCGTAGGGAGAAGGAGCAGGGAGAGGGGAAGCCAGCTGTAACTGTGACTCGGACTGGACAGGCGGTGGACACTCTAAGGAAGGAGCAGGACCAGAAGAAGGCGGAAGACCAAGAACCTGCTCAAGGAGCGGAACGAAGTAAAACCTCCAGCACCGGCAGCACCTCCAGCTCCAGCAGCACGGCTCCAGCGCCGAGCAAACCACTCTCGCAGCTCCTATGGAGAGGGTAGCTCCCGCCGGGACAAAGAACTCGAAGGACCTCCAGGTCCAGCACCGGCAGGTACCGAACCCCCACTCTCAGCAACCCCTGGCTCAGCACCCCCAGACCCAGCACCCCCAGGCTCCGCACGCTAAGGCTCAGCACCCCCAGACCCAGCACCCCCAGGCACCACACGCTCAGGCTCAGCACCCCCACAAGCACCAGAATCAACAGCTACCTCGACAAGCTCGACTGCATCTACCTGGGAAACACCTGAGGGGGCAGGACCCTGAGGGGGGAGGGGGTCTACCGGGGGGGGACCGGGCGTGAGGAAGAGCGGCGAGGGGGGGAGGGGGGCAGCGCGGTAGGGGAAAAGACGGTAGTACGCAGCCGACTCGTCAAACGTGACGTCCTGGGAGGACAGAACACGACGCGAGGTGGGGTGGTAAAACTGCCAACCAGGCGCGTCAGGGGGAAAGCCGAGGAAGACACAAGGAATAGCACGGGAGGACAGCTTGTCCGCAGACAAGTCTCGGACGAAAGCTCGAGATCCCCAGACACGGAACGCAGACGCATCACCAACCTTCCCCGTCCACCGCAGAGTAGGGGAGGTCTCCGGCATGGAGACCCGGGGCTGAAGGTTGATCTGATGCGCCGCGTACTGAACCGCGAACGGCCACAGAAAATGGGGAGCAGCCGCATGGATCATGGACGTACGAGCGACATCCATGACCATGCCAATGCGGCGCTCAGCAATCCCATTTTGCTGTGGAGAGGCCGAAAGCGTGAACGTCTGGCGGATGCCCTCCGCACGACAGAAGGCTCGCAGAAGGTCGGAGGAAAACTCTCCACCTCTGTCGGAGTGCAGACGCAGAACAGGAAAGTCCGAGCCGAAACGCTCTCTGAGCTGGAGACGAGCAACGCGGATCTAGTCGATCAACACCTTAGTGACCTCATCCTTGCGGCGCAAGGGGAAGACTGTGGTGTAACGCGAGTAGTCGTCAACCACCAGCAGGAAGTAACGCTCGTGACACTGTCCACGGACGCGGGCTGGGCCCCACACGTCCATGTGGAGAGTCTGCAGCGGAGCCTCTGTCGGGGGAAACTCGGAGGAGTGAGGAGCGGCGCGCTGCCACCCCTCGACGCAGGGAACGCAGGTAGGGGCAGGCCCTGGGGGAAGGGGAGGGAGGGACCGGGGAAGACCAGAGACAAGGACACGGGAGGCCATGCCTCGGAGACGAGGCAAGGAGGGGTGACCAAGGCGGTGGTGCCAGAGGAGGGTCTGGTGGGACAGGAGGCGACACGAGCAGGGGGCAGACTCAGGACCTGACCGAGACGCTGCAGCAAACACCTGACTCGACGCAGCTACCTGACCAGACGCAGCAACCGGTGGAGACTATGTGGTCAGTGTGTACAGGCTCGACCCCGGTCGACGGGTAAACATGGCCAAGTGGCGGCCCGTCCGAGCACACGTGCAGTGGGTCACTCGCTGACTCGCAGGAGTGAACTGGTCAACCCCGCCATCCTGAAGGTCAGCACCACTCACCAAGTTCGTAGAGAACGAGGGGAGGTAGAGACCGGACAGGGAGCCTGACGGGGCCGCCGGACACGGGAGGACAGTGGAGTAACGAGCAAGGACAGGACCCCCAGAGGGGTCTGCCAGGGAGACCGCAACTGGCCGACTGAGCGGCGTAAGGGTGGTGCGGTCTCGAAAGAAGGAGCGGGAAGCACCCGAGTCGAGGGTGAAGGTGTGCAAAACCTGAGCCGACGCAGTACCTGAGAGAGCAGACTCACCAGCACCTGGAGCAGCAGACTCACTAGCACCTAGAGCAGCAGCCTCAATGCCCGGGTCAGGCGGAACACACACGTAACAGTCACCCTCAGCACTAATAGACACAGCATACATGGCAGCAAGAATAGCATCAAAGTCAAGATCAAAGATAGCTACACCCGACCTGAGCAGATCACCCCAGCGAGGGATCTCAGTGGCGTCAGGGAACTGGGTACGCCAGGCCTCTGTCAGGCGGCCGAAGCAGCGCTGGGTGGCGTGCAGGCCGCCACACTGCTCTCCAGTGCGGTCGCCGGTGCGCAGGACGTAGGCACAGGGACCAGCACCCCCAGACCCCTGGCGCCCTGCGTACCACTCACAAAGCTGCTGGGGCGACGGGGTCTCACGAGAGCGCTGCTGCTGCTGGGGTCCCTGCTGCACAGTACCGCCTCGACCAGCTCCACCTCCACCGCTGCCGCCTCCGCCGCCTCCACCCCAACCGCCACCGCCACCGCCGCCTCCACCTCCACCGCTGCCACCGAAGCCCCCACCTCTGCCACCACCCCCACCCCCGCCCCCTCCTCCGCCTCCACCGCCACTACCTCCTCCCCCGCCACCTCCTCCAGCGCCCTTGCCCCGCTTGCCCTTGCCGTTGCGGCGCCTCTCGCTAGGAGCAGACGCAGCGCTGACCGACTCGGTGCCAACAAGGTCGACAGCAGCAGCAGAGGCAACGGAGGGCAAAAGAGGAACGGGGGAGCACCCCTCAAAGAAAGGGGTACGGGGGTCACTACGAGAGGCTCCTACAGCGGTAATACTAGTCTCTGCTGCAAGGAGACACTCCTCGAGGAGGTCAATGGTGAGTGTGGTAGGGCAGAGAGAGAGGAAGTGGTCCCTGACCGAGCGAAGGGTGTCAGGGAGCCGGGTGACTAGGTAGTAGAGGGTGGTGTACATGGGGGGGGGGTTCTTGGCGCAGAACTCAGCAGGAAGCGCAGCGCGGTAGCGGGTGTCACTAGTGCGGAGGTGCGTAATGAGGTCAGCGACTGTGGCAAAAGCGGCGAGGTCAGGGAACAGGTACGGTAGCATGAGGCAGCTAAGAGCAGCAGTGGCAGGGGAAGAGTAGCGTGCAACTACAGCGTCGTACAGAGTCTTAGCACTCTTGTACTGACTAAAGTGTGTGCGCTCAGTAGACGGTAGGTGACTACGCACAGCAAGGCGGGCAGCAGCATCGCGTGTGGTCCACTGCGAGCGAACAGTACTGTCAGCATCAGCAGCAGGGGCAGTAGAGGCGCCAGACGTGAGATCGAAAAGTGAGAGACCATCCTTGCCTTCGCACTGTAGGAAAAGCTGCAGATCATCTAGCCAGACCTCGAAGTCAACCGCTCGACCCTCAGCATCAAAGGTAAGAACACTGGGACTAGCCATGACAGGAGCAGCAGCAGGCTAGCAGCAGAAGCAGTGCGACTCGGCTAAGCAGCGCAGCTAGGCAAGGCAGCGTGGCTCGGCAGGGCGGGCCGGCTCGGCAGCGCGGCTCGGCGGCGCGGCGCGGCTCGGTAGTGCGGCTCGGCGGTGCTCTTACCAGGGGCGGGGCCGGGGCAGGGCCGGGGGAGGGCCGGGGCAGGGCCGCAACAGGTCCGGGGCAGGGCTGCGACAGGTCCGGGGGGGGGCCGGGGCAGGGCTGCAACAGGTCTGGGGCAGGGCCGGGGCAGGGTGGCGACAGGTCCAGGGCACGGCCGGGGCAGTGCCGGGGCAGGGTCGGGGCAGGGTCGGGACAGGGCCGGGGCAGAGCCGCGACAGGGCCGCAACAGGGCCGGGGCAGGGCCGCGACAGGTCCGGGACAGGGCCGCGACAGGGTCGGGGCAGGGCTGCGACAGGTCCGGAACAGGGCCGCAACAGGGCCGGGGGAGGGCCGGGGCAGGGCAGAGGCCGGGCCGCGACAGGGCCGCGACAAGTGACGGGGCAGGGCCAGGGCAGCGCCGGGCGACGGGGCGACGGGCAAGGCCGGGCCGGGGACGACGGGGCGACGGGGTGGGCCGGGCCGAGGAGACGGGGCGCCGGGCGACGGGGCGACGGGCCGGGCCGCGACGCGGCGGCTTTGGGCGACGGGGGTAGGGCCGGGGCGGGGTCGCAACGGGGCCTCGAAGGGGGCCGCTAATGGGCCGCAAAGGGGGCCGCGTAGGGCAGGACAGGCCGCTAGGGGGCCACGAAGATCGAGGGTAGGGCAGAGCGCGAAGCGCGCTTCGGGCAGGTAGGAATTTTTTTTTTTTGACGGTGGGCCCTTAGGAAGGAACGGTCCCGCTAGGGAACCCGCTCTATACCATGTGAAGAAACAGGAAAGATGAATGACTAGGAAATGAGTTGGGTACAAATATGAAACCCTAGGAAACTGTATCCCATAGTGTCTACCCCACTACAGCCTAGACAGGCTATGTGATTAATGTTTGACAAGTGGGACTTGCACTTGCCGGTGTTGGAGTTCGCCTACAATAATGCGAAGCATGCCGCAACAGGAGAGACCCCATTTTTCCTCTGTTACGGACGACATCCACTAACTCCACAACAGCCGACAGTACCTGCAACTGTCCAACCCGCGCACGACTTCGTTACCACAATGCAGCAGCTTTGGGATCGGACACACAAGCGTCTACAGGACATACTGTCTTCACAGAAACGCTTGGCCGATCGCCATCGACGTGATCATACCATTGCGGTTGGTGACAATGTGCTTCTCGACACATGCAACCTCAACCTCGGTCACCTTCCATCCAAGTTACGACCTCGCTTCTGCGGACCTTTCCTCGTAGAAGACCAGGTCACTCCAGTCACATTCCGCTTGCGCCTACCAGCTTCTTGGAAGATTCATAATGCCTTCCACGTGCAGCTTCTTAAAACCCTATCAAGATCCAAATAAGCTGTACACGGGACGCCAACCTCCGCCGCCGCCTCCAGTCCTTATGAATGATGAACCTGAGTACGAGGTTGAATCTGTGCTTGCACATCGTCGTCGTCGGCATGGCGCCCTGGAGTTTCTCGTACGCTGGAAAGGCTATGATCCTTCTGAGGACAGCTGGGTCTCTGAAGAAGACATGAGTAACGCCCGACGTTCTCTCCGCGACTATCTTGTCAAGCAGGGTGTTACATCTACCACCCAGCTTTGAGGGGGGGAAGTGTGAGAGTACGCCGACGTTCGACATATTTCTCATTTCCATATTTTTACTCCATCTTATTCTCCTTATTTTCCTCTTTCATTTGCACTTTATTTCACCTCAATCGGACTACTATTCTATTTTCTAGATCTTTCCGATTATTTCACTTATTTGGTATTTTCGGCACCGACATTTACATTATACGGCACCGACAGCACCGACAGTGGTGTACAAGGCGTAATCTCACCATAATCCGAAGTGGCAATGGGCTTGCGTGCTTATGCGCACTTGTGATTATCTATTCTAGAAGAGCGCGTTCCCGAAGGTTCGGATTATCTGTTGTTTCTATGTATTTCTGAGTATAAATACGCCTTGTACTCACCTTTAGTGCAACATTCTCGAGTGGAAATTCGATCATGTGACAGGGTTGGCGCGACCCATTTCACATGCGCCGGCCGGGCGAACGGGCAGACAGACCACCTCCGCCTCGGTGCGCTTGTCCCTGAGCCCAGGGCTGTCAAATGTATATGCCTTAGCCTATATAGGCTGTAGTGGGGTAGTTCCTAGAGGGTACAAACACTTTTGTGTTCTCTATTTGTACCCACCTAATTCCTAGTTCAATCATTCCTGTTTCAATCTTCACATGGTATAGAGCGGGTTCCCTCATGGGACCGTTCCTTCCTAAGGGCCCCCACCATAAGATTTTTTTTTTTTTAGCTGCCCGAAGCGCGTCTCGCGCCCTGCCCTACATTTTTTTTTTCGCGACCCCCTAACGGCCCCTACGCGGCCCCTACGCGACCCTACGCCGCCCCTAAACGGCCCCGTCGCGGCCCTGTACCTGACGCGGACCCGTCCCTGACGCGGCCCCGTCCCTACCCGGCCCCCTACGCGGCCCCTACGCGGCCCCTACGCGGCCCCTACGCGGCCCCTACGCCGCCCCTAAACGGGCCCCGTCCCGGACCCTGCTAGGCCCCTACGCCGCCCCCTAAAACGGCCCCGTCCCGGACCCTGCTAGGCCCCGACCCTGTCCCGGACCTGCCCCGGCCCTGACCCTGTCCCCGGCCCCGTTGCTGCCCCGTCCCGGACCCTGCTCGGCCCCGACCCTGTCCCGGCCCTGTCACGGCCCCGACCCAGTCCCGGACCTGTCGGCTCCGCCCCTGGTAAGAGCCTAGCCGGGCCGAGCCGCGCGGCCGAGCCGCACTGCTTTGCCGAGTCGCCCTGCCGAGTCGCACTGTCCTGCCTCGTTCCGTTGCACTGCTGCCGCTGCTAGTCTACTGCTGCTCCTATCATGGCTAGTCCTAGTCTTCTCACCTTTGATGCTGAGGGTTCGAGCGGTTGACTTTGATGTCTGGCTAGATGATCTGCAGCTTTTCCTTCAGTGCAATAGCAAGGATGGTCTCTCCCTGTTTGATCTTACGTCGGGCGCCTCTACTGCCCCTGCTGCTGATGCTGACAGTACCGTTCGCTCGCAGTGGCTCACGCGCGATGCTGCTGCCCGCCTTGCTGTGCGTAGTCCACCTACCGTCTACTGAGCTGCCGCGCACTTTAGTCAGTGCAAAAATGCTAAGGCTCTGTACGACGCATGTAGTTGCACGTTACTCTTCCCCTGCCACTGCTGCGCTTAGCCGCCTCATGCTACCGTACCTGTTCCCTGACCTCGCTGCTTTGCCACAGTCACTGACCTCATTACGCACCTCCGCACTAGTGACACTCGCTACCGCGCTGCGCTTCCTGCTGAGTTCTGCGCCCAGAACCCCCCCCCCCATGTACATCACCCTCTACTACCTAGTCACTCGACTCCCTGACACTCTCGCTCAGTCAGGGACCACTTCCTCTCTCTTTGCCCTACCACCCTCACTGTCGACCTCCTCGAGGAGCACCTCCTTGCAGCAGAGACTAGTATCACCGCTGTAGGCGCCTCTCGTGGTGACCCCCGTACCCCTTTCTTTGAGGGGTGCTCCCCCGTTCCTCTTTTGCCCTCTGTTGCCTCTGCTGCTGCTGTCGACCTTGTTGGCACCGAGTCGGTTAGCGCTTGCGTCTGCTCCTAGTGAGAGGCGCCGCATCAGCAAGGGCAAGCGGGGCAAGGGAGCTGGAGGAGGTGGTGGGGGCGGCGGCAATGGCGGTGGAGGCGGAGGAGGGGGTGGGGGTGGAGGTGGTGGTAGAGGTGGGGGCTTCGGTGGCAGCGGTGGAGGTGGAGGCGGCGGGTGGCGGTGGCGGGAGGGGTGGAGGAGGCGGAGGCGGCGGTGGCGGAGGTGGAGCTGGCAGAGGCGGAGCTGTGCAGCGGGGACCCCAGCAGCAGCAGCGCTCTCGTGAGACCCCTTCGCCCCAGCAGCTTCGTGAGTGGTACGCGGGCGCCGGGGGTCTGGGGGTGCTGGTCTCTGTACTTACGTCCTGCGCACCGGTGACCGCACTGGAGAGCAGTGTGGCGGCCTCCACGCCACCCAGCGCTGCTTCGGTCGCCTGACGGACGCCTGGCGTGCCCAGTTCCCGGACGCCACTGAGATCCCTCGTTGGGGAGATCTATTCAGGTCGGGGGTAGCTATCTTTGATCTTGACTTTGATGCTATTCTTGCTGCCATGTATGCTGTGTCTATTAGTGCTGAGGGTGACTGTTACGTGTGTGTTCCGCCTGACCCTGGTATTGAGGCTGCTGCCCTAGGTGCTAGTGAGTCTGCTGCTCCAGGTACTCGTGAGTCTGCTGCTCTAGGTGCTGGTGAGTCTGCTCTCTCAGGTACCGAGTCTGCTCAGGTCTTTCACACCTTCACCCTCGACTCGGGTGCTTCCCGCTCCTTCTTTCGAGACCGCACCACCCTTACGCCGCTCAGTCGGCCGGTTGCGGTCTCCCTGGCAGACCCCTCTGGGGGTCCTGTCCTTGCTCGCTACTCCACTGTCCTCCCGTGTCCGGCGGCCCCGTCAGGCTCCCTGTCTGGTCTCTACCTCCCCTCGTTCTCCACAAACTTGGTGAGTGGTGCTGACCTTCAGGATGCCGGAGGTTGACCAGTTCACTCCTGCAGGTCAGCGACTGACCCACTGCACGTGTGCTCAGGACGGGCCGCCACTTGGCCTCGTTTACCCGTCGACCGGGGTCGAGCCTGTACACACTGACCACAGAGTCTCCACCGGTTGCTGCGTCTTGGTGAGGTAGCTGCGTCGAGTCAGGTGTTTGCTGCAGCGTCTCGGTCAGGTCCTGAGTCTGCCCCGTGCTCGTGTCGCCTCCTGTCCCACCAGACCCTCCTCTGGCAC